GAGAGAGTGGCAGAGAGACATAAACAAACAAGAAAGAAGCAAGAAAAAAAGAGAGGAAGACAGACAGAGAGAGACACCCCAGAGGGAGGAAACAGGAGTGAGAAGAAAAATAAGTCAGACACAGACGGAGATGGAGAGACAAAGAGATTGAAAATGTTTTTTATTTTCCGCACACGGTTCTATAAGTGCTGCGATTTCAGAATTTTACTGCATTTGTACACTGATTTCTGAGCAACAAATTTACACCCTCCACCTCCTCCTCATCTTTCACTCTCAGAATGTAAACCTCACAGTTTGGTGCTGAAAATCAATAAGACAGCATGTCTCTCTGTAACCGAACAACTCTCACAGTAATCAGGTCACATGTGTATGGTGTATGGATTTCTGCATTTATGCCCTGTGAAGAAAAGCTTGGGAAAAATTAGACGTGTGTGTGTGTGTGTCCCTTAGGGAATTTGTTTGTGTGGAAGTGGTATTTTCAGGTACAAATGCTGAGGAAAGCCATGATAGCAGATACATTTTGTTTCTGTGTTTTCACTAAGTGCTCAAATTTGGAAGGTGCTCCACTGTGGGTATGAAATGTCATGTTTAGCAGCTCATCAACATGAAGATTGTGTGTGTGTGAGTGTGTGTGTGTGTGTGTGTGTGTGTGAGTGAAAGAGAGAGAAAGAGAGAGAAAGAGAGAGAGAGAGAGCGAGACTGGTCATTAGATCGAACATGAGCCTGGCCTGAGTGACTGAGTGATGAGCTTGGTGTTTTTATTCCAGACCAAAGCAGGCCTGGCCCAGGCTTAGATTTCACACACACACAATTTAGCCAATTCCCTGGTGAGAGGGAAGACCGAGACAGGGTGAGAGCATTTATAGGATGGATATAGATGGATAGAGGGCTTCATTTTTGTTTGGGGAGGAAAACTGTTTTTCATAATTTCTTTGTTTTCTCCTCATCTTTGAAACACAAACACAGGTACACACACACACACACACACACACACACACACAGGTATATATGCATACTGGCTGTGTCAGCAGACAGGAAGCTATAGCTAATACATAATTGATGAGTCCAGTCATTGATTACAAGTGATAAGTGGTATTGACAGGAGGTGTGAGGAGAGGAGAAAAAGTGTCGATGTGTAGGTTTATGTATGTGTGTGTTTTCCCAGTGGGCTGCAAAATGGCTTTAGAATATGTAATGGCCTTAGTAACACATTAGCTTACTAGACAGTATTTAAAGTTTCAACATGATGAGCAACTCCAGACACAAGAAAAGGATCTTAAAGGATTGTTTTTCCCAGTTTTTTAGATGTCTCTGAAATTTCGACCCCAACAGTGATTTAATAGTGATGGTAATTTAATGGTGTTTTCTGGAGAGTTAGTTCTCTTGGTGAGAAGATCGATACCACTCTTTTGTATCTATGTGTGTTTTGTAAGTAGCCTTATAACCAAAAGGTATTTTTATATTTCTGTGTGTGTACAAACTAAACAAACAATATAATGTGTTAGTGAGCTTTAAATGTGCTGGAGAGCAGATTTTTTAACTCTATATAGAGCTAGGCTAAATGTTTACTCCTGCTTCCATTGATTCTGTCAGACAGAAAACAAATAATCATATTTCCCAAAGTGTTGAGCTAGTCCTTTAAAAAAAACAGCAGCAAATGTCTTTCAGGACATAACCTGAGGTGTAGGAATTATAAATTGCAAAATGTGTGCATATTCCAGTGGTTTATTGAATCCCAAACATTCAAAGAAAAGAGAAAAAAGGAGACAACTCCAGGAAATATGGAGGAAAATGACACAGACTGCTGTGATTTTTTAGATCAGATCAGGACATACACAGACACACATGCTGGGTGCTAGTTAGCTAACAGCTAACATATGTACATTTAGTAAATTGGCTGTTTGGAGCGAATAAAAACTGATGCAGATGCCAGTAATTTTCCCAACAGATTACTCAACAGCACACAATATTGATAGTTTTAAAAGGGATACTTTATTTGGCAGAAAGTCATTCCAATGAAAAGTGATCACAGTAAGGCCTGTGTATTATCCAGAGTAGTTATTTCTAGAAAGACACAGATACTGAATTTCAGTCGAATTGTTTTAAAGTTTTAAGGCACAAAAAATTCAAAACTACCTGTAAACCTAGAAACCAGTGAAGGTAAGTAGGGAAATGTGTTTTTGTAATTTTGGGTAAACTGACCCTTTAATTTATCAAGGTTGCACCCAGTTATACTCATGAAAGGGTTTTACAGTGAGTGAGTCACAGAGAATATCGTTGAAATAATTGACTGTATGTGAAACCCGAATTTGACAAATTTGACAAACCTTGTTGATAGGTAGTACAGGGAGTGTGTGTGTGTGTGTGTGTGTGTGAATGTGTGTGTGCTCCTCTCCGTTTGCTCCTGAAATCACATATTATTATGCTATTATGTCCTATTTTTGTACGCCACTCAATTGCCCATGAACTGAGGAAAGCAGTCTAAATGGTCTTTAGTCTCTGTGAACACACACATGGGCTGGAGGCTGCCTCTGACCTTTTGCAGCTCAGCACCTCTCCTCCACTATTCATGTCTCATCCCTCTCATTTAATCTGCCTCGCTCTCTTTCTGCTTCATTATGCCGTGTGCACTATTTTCTCGGTTGCTGTTCTTCCCTCGCAGACGCACGCAGATATGTGTGCTGTTACACGTGCACCGCGTACACTCACTAATACAGCATGACATGCCTCCCTGCTGTCATGGTGTGCTGAGCTGAGGAGAACGGCCGGGATTCGGTAACGGCTGACGAACAGCATGAGTGCGAGAAGAGGAGAAAGAGAGGGAAAGATAGGAAAAGAGGAGGTTGGACCAATTTTACAGTCCCTTTGTTATACCTACAGGCAGTAGGGATACACAGAGGAGCTTGTAAACAGGCACTTTTAAATTGAGTGATTAGTCTCATTTGCATTCAGGAGGGCAAACTCTGTTTTACTTTGGAATAGTTTTTCCAGGTCACTGCTTATAAAAAGTGGAGGGAATATGAAAGCGGGCTGCTTTAAAGTGATGCAGCTGGTTTAAATTGCGTCAGGTCAGCGACTCACCCCTCTGATCTGGGATCTGTGGATTGGAAGTATAGGTTCAAAGATTTCGATAGAAGGAGGATAACCTGAGAGAGCCACAATGTGTGTGATTGAGAGAGAGAAGAAAGAGAGAAGCAGCAGTCTCTGCAGATGGATACTGATTAAATATTGATGGTCAGCGGTGTTGAAGGCTTGATTAGGAACCGACTATGCCAAGCTCTTAACAAGCACACACACACATGCACACACACACTGACAAGTGACACACACAGGTGGAGAACCTTGCTCCAGAATCTGAGCAGGTTTTTATTATGCCTCCCACTGGTCAACTTTCCTCTCTAGACTTTTCATTCTCACCTTCCTGCATCCTCCCTCCACCTCCTCCTGTCACACAGAGATCACACACAGGAAACAGTTCAGTGTCAAATGTACATTCATCCTCCTTTTGTTCAACATTTTTCTGGTTAAATGACACTTTTATTGTATTAAACGCTTTGTACATGTGGAAGTTGTTGATAAAATGTTTGCTTGCTTGTTGAAAGGGTTGGTTAACCCAAATGACAAAAACACATATATAAAGGTCCAGTGTGTAACATTTAGGAGGGTCTATTGGTAGAAATGGAATATAATATGTATAGGTATGTTTTAATTAGAATATAATCACCTGAGGAATCGTTATGTTTTTGTTACCATAGAATGACTCTTTTATATCTATAGACACTACGGATCGCCTTCAAAGGACTCCGCCATGTTGTACTGCCATGTTTCTATTAGGGCTGGGTACTGAGCTTCGATACTTTTATGGCACTGACCGAATTGCGTCAATATTACCAAGTGTTAAAAAATGGCTTGTCATTTGGTACCAAATTTCAATACCAACTGGCTAAAACTCATCAGTGTCCGTGCACCCACGCAACAGGTGGTTAACATTACATATCATAGAAGGTGCAGGAGAAACACTCACAGAGACCGGCTAACTTTTTTTTCCTTTCTTTTTTTACTGCGAGCTGCATATATACACAGACAACTTGTGAATGCTAGCCAGGGAAGCTAACCTGTATCTGCTTGTTGGTGAGTCTGTTCACCCATCATCCGCCTGGATGAAATGTGGGTGATATTTTTGTAATTCGGGTGAATTGGCCACTTGAATTAAAAAAAAATGTTAAACCTGTAAAGCGATTCCAACCATTATAAGAGCTGGAGGCTGACGCTCTAATTTGTGTAAACTACCATAGGTTCCTACTCATGGGTTTAACAGGGTGATGATTATTAAGACAAAAGCAGAGTATTTAGCCATTTATTTTAAAAAATGTGACTGGTTGCAATATACTGAGCATACAGATGAACAGCGAAGTAGAAGATTATGCTGATTGTGTGGCTGGAGGAAATTCGAAACATTTTTGATACATTTTATGTGACAGGAATATGTCATTGTAACCACTCTGAATACAACTTGATCTCCTTCCTCCTTAAAGAACACAAGCATCAAAAGTCATTTTTCAAACCCTCAGGCGAGCAATTGATACTCTTTGGGTAGAGTGTCACTTCAGTGTCTAAAATGTAAATGTACAACTGTACAAAATATACTCTTGCCTCTGTATCTTGATGCTGTGTCACTGACTGACTTTATGTCCCCTTGAACCATAACAGCTGCAGCACAACCACAGTAATCTTAAAGTTGAAATTATAGGTTTATGCTGCTTGTGATTCCACTGCCGTTGTACTCCAACACAACAAAAGACGCCCTTGTATGAGTATACAAGTTTTTATATAGGTTTAGGGAACAATATGACATTATGTGATGCTTGCAAGATAATATCGCTCCACGCTGTACATGGAAAACATTATCATTATCTTAATGAAATGAGGGTTAATGCCACTTTTATTTCAGTATGTGTGTGTGTTAACATCCTTTTTCTCTCTCCTCTGTGTTCTTGCAGTTACGTTGCTGGATTCCATGTCAGCTTTGGCCGACCTGGGCTGGGAGGCTTACCCTAATGAGGGGGTGAGTATATGCAGGACAAAACACACACAAACAAAAATCAACCTCACTTTATGCCGGAGCTGGCACCAAAAGAACAACTAGTGGGTTGTGTTGGGAAGGAGCAAGGACTCGGAGTTAGGAGCAGCAGCACTGGAGTATGTGTTTTAGAGAGCCCTGGGTTCTTGAGCGCTCCTTGCTAAATCGGGAGTCTGCAGGGGGAATTTACAAATTATTTCCGCTGCACTGCAAACGCTGTGGCACTGGAGCCTCCATTTATTATGGGTTGCGATTTTTGGGATGGAGTGAAGGGATGGGGTGGAGGGGTAAATATTCTTACATAAAAGGAGGATGTTGTGTACGTGTTGACATTATTTGCGTGTGTGTGCGTGTGTCTGT